TAGTATTGCACTGGACACAGGACTTAGTAAGGCACTGGACTTTGGACTTCGTAAGGCACTGGACTCAGGACTTAGTAAGGCACTGGACGTAGGACTTAGTATTGCACTGGACACAGGACTTAGTAAGGCACTGGACTTTGGACTTCGTAAGGCACTGGACTCAGGACTTAGTAAGGCACTGGACGTAGGACTTAGTATTGCACTGGACACAGGACTTAGTAAGGCACTGGACTTAGGACTTAGTAAGGCACTGGATTCAGGACTTAGTAAGGCACTGGACTTTGGACTTCTTAAGGCACTGGACTCAGGCCTTAGTAAGGCACTGGACTTAGGACTTAGTAAGGAACTGGACTCAGGACTTAGTAAGGCACTGGACTCAGTACTTAGTAAGGCACTGGACTCAGGACTTAGTAAGGCACTGGACTCAGGACTTAGTAAGGCACTGGACTCAGGACTTAGTAAGGCACTGGACTCGGGACTTAGTAAGGCACTGGACTCAGGACTTAGTAAGGCACTGGACTTAGGACTTAGTAAGACACTGGACTCCGGACTTAGTAAGGCACTGGACTCAGGACTTAGTAAGGCACTGGACTCAGGACATAGGAACGCACTGGACTCAGATATAAAAATAGAAGCACACTCACAAGAATACAAGCTCTCCCCAGCCCCTGCTACCTGCTCTGTCTCCGTGCAGCCTTCTCAGCCCCAGCACTGCATAGGCGTCCGCCTCCTGCAGAGCTCACATTGTATGGGAGGCAGGAGGACAGCAACGGCTGTGAGTAGAAAAGTCCTGCTGTAAACACTGCCCGGCCACTAGATGTCACTGCAGCGGCACTTTTATATTCACAGCCGTTGCTGTCCTCCCGCTGACTGACACTGCTGCGCAACGAGGAGGCTGAGGAGACTCTCACCCAGCGCAGCAGAAATGGGCGCGGCGACCCACTCAACAATGGGTTGCGACCAAACTACTTTACCACACACACAGGGACCATGGGGAACAAAAGTAGCCCCCCTCCAGAAGGAAGGACAGTGTCAGCACCAATTCAGAGATGATTTGAGGATCTACAGCTGAGTGATACACAAATAAGATACATTCATGTTAATATTTAAGGTACTTGAATGTATTTTTAAAATTTAACTCCTGAGTTTAGTGTCACTTTAACTTTATTGCTATCACATTAGAGGTTCACAAGCCCCCTATGTGATAGCACATTAGTGGTGACAGATTTTCTTCAAGTAGACATTAAGGATCTGTTAGACTCCTGCTGTGACCTTTGCACTTCAATGAAGCTTATCAAGTGGAAATACTTTACAGTCATCCTAATCACTTGCAGTGTAAAGCCGACCGTCTTCTGGCTCATATTTCAGTTCATCCCAAAGGTGTCCCGTAGAGTTGAGGTCAGGGCTCTGTTCAGGACACTTGAGCTCCTCTAAACCAAACTGGTCACACCAAGTCTTTATGGAGCTGGCTTTGTACACAGGGGTACAGTTATGGTCAGGGCAGCCATCAGAAATTTTGGGGCCCCTTACACAGCTTTATGCCTGGGCCCCCCGCCACCCTACCAACACTGCACCTGTCCACTGGCTGTCCCATTATGTCCGCCCACTGTAACACTAATTACAGTTGCAACACTATAACAACTTAATATATGAAACTGTAATGTGTATTCCAACGCACAGGAGACACTGACGCCGCTGGGGCGACGACGCACAGGAGACACTGATGCTGGTGGGGCGACAACGCACAGGAGACACTGACGTCGCTGGGGCAACGACGCACAGGAGACACTGACTCCGCTGGGGCGACGTTGCATAGGAGACACTGACACAGCTGGGGCGATGACGCACAGGCGACTCTGACTCCGCTGGGGTGATGACGCATGTGGCGACACTGACACAGCTGGGGTGACGACGCACAGAAGACACTGACACCTGCTGCCAACCCTCCCACCCCATTACAATGGACGCTGTTTAGTGTTGGCACGGCTGCTGTCCTCTGCGCTACTCCTTCCCCCTGCATCGGGCCACCAGTCAGCCTGTCCTCTGCAACCAGCCCAGCATCGGGCACCACGCTGCTGTATCTCCAACAACCCCCCAGGAAGCTTTTAAAACACTTGCCTTTCTACTACAGCAGCTCTGCTCCCGCCTTTCTTCAGTGCTTTGGTCGGCTAAAACATAAGCTCCGCCCCCTGAAAAACCTTCCTGCACGTACAGGAAAGCGCCAATTTACAGGGAAGGGGGGGAGCGGGACAGTACCAACTGGACTGTACATAATATTTTATAGCATAAACTCCTTGGTTGGAGCCTGGGCCCCCCAAGCTGCTGGGGCAACTTACTTGAGTGCTGGCCGTACCCCCCTGATGGCGGCCCTGGTTATGGTGGAACATAAAAAAGTCTTCACCAAAATGCTATCACAAGGTTGCAAGGGCGCAAACACACAATTGTCTAAAATGTTCTTGAATGTTTTCGTTTTAACAATACTCTTCAAGGAAACACCTAAACCCGATAACTAGGAGTGTCAACATACGTATCACCACATAATGTTTTTTTGTTTTGTTTGCACTTTGAAGCTAATTACATTATTGTGCTCTTTTATTGTATGTTGTATAGTATTGTACACTTGATTTATTACTACAACACTATTCCGTCATGTAACGGCCAATTCATCATTGTGTCAGGTGCATGCACGAGATTGTCTGTGACTCATACTTGTGATAGGTTTCATGTTGAGTCCTGGCCGGTGTATTACTAGCTGGCGCAGGTTGGTTTATTGTTACATTACTGATAAAAGAGTTTACATATCGCATAGAATGCTGCATTCCTGGTTACAAGCTTTTTCTGCCTCTTATGTTGTTTCTGACAAAGGTATTTTTTGTAGCTTATGTAGCGAGCTACAGAAGTTTTGTATACAATGAACATTTCTATTATGTCAGGGCCAAAACAAGTAGCAAAGTATGTCTGTTCAGTAACTTTTCAAGTTTACGGGGAAAAATTCCTGGCATGTCACAATATACGGCAACAGTTGTTTTTTTTTGAGAAAAGCTCCACCATTTATCATTAATAAGCCATCCTTGATCTCCAGACCAGTGGCTTTGCACCTGGTGCCGATACCGAGTATTTGGGCAAGTACTAGTACTCGCCCAAATGCTCCGATACTATTCCCGATACCGAAACTTCTGGTATCAGGAAGCCATGCGATGAGTCATTACCCGCCCCATGGATTCCTGATTGGCCAGAAAGCTGGCTCCATGCTTCCTCATCACCTGGTGACAAGTGAGCATTGAGCCGGCTTACCGGATAATCGGGAAGCTGGGCGGCAAGTCATTACATGCTTCCTTAATGGGACTTCCGATATCGGTATTCGGTATTGGCGGGTACTGGAAAAAAAATATTGTCTGAACAGGTCACTGGCAAACACACAGATGAATTCAATATCTCTTTCATATGTTTATTAAAGAATGTCACGACATGTCATTAGAAGCTGAAGCTAGCATTTCGGGACCTCGCAGGGACCCTTCATCAGAGCGACATAGTGAGGTCTCTATGTCGCTCTGATGAAGGGTCCCTGTGAGGTCCCAAAACGCAAGCTTCGGCTTCTAATGGCATGACGTGCGTGACATTTTCCAATAAACATATCAAAGAGATATTGAATTCATCTGTGTGTGTGCCGGTGACCTGTTCAGACTATTCTGAGCTTTGCACGGCACCATACGTGTGATCACCAGAGCACCACCACCATTGGAAGGTTACAGACTACAAGGAGTGCGGGTAGTTCTTGGAAACAATTGGAAAAAAATATTGGTACTCGTACTCGATACCGAACAACTGGCATTGGTGCATCCCTAATAAAATTCATTTTATAAGCCATTACAATAATAGATGATGACCGTGCCATGAAGGCCCTTGTTCAGACTTTATCTGTTACAGGGTGACAGCCCTCTATTCCAGTTTCCCATTTGTCCTCCTGTGTTGTCACCCTGTCTCCTGCTTCTGTTGGAGCCAGCCTGTCTCAACCCACGTTAATAAAGGCAAGGTCCACTGTTGTCACCATAAGGGCTAATTCACACCAGATGCAGTTGTGATGCAGTCTGTTCAGTTTGTCTGCTGCAGCCAAAATACATAACAATGCTTTCCTATGGGATTTTTGGTGCTCTATTCACACCAGTGCAGTCCGTTCCAATGCAGTCAGAAAAAATACAGCTTGCCCAATTTCAGCTGCATCTGATCGCAATGGAACACATCAAAAACACATGCAAATGCACTGGAACGCACCTGGAATCCCATTTTAAGCAAAAAGCCAAAACAAAAAAAAACCTGCATCAATTGCGGTAAAATTGTGGTGCAATCGTGGTAAAATCGCAACAAAACGCATTGCAGCAGCGCTGATGTACACAGTTTTGGTGTGAACTAGCCCTAAGAAGCCTAAGTGTCTGCAACGAGACTGCAGGAGATAAGCAGCACTGAGGATGACGCACAAAGGATGAAAAAAATGTAAAAGCAAAATTTGTCAAAGCAAACAAATGTCAATTGCTCACAATACACAGTGCTGTAGAAAACGAACTGTCATTCAGTCTGGGTTTATGCCTACATTAAAATATCAATAAAATTAAGCAGATTTATCATTTCAGATTAACAAAAATAATGATGTCCCTTTAAAAATGTAGCTATTGAAAAAACACTTAGACGTCTGATAGTCTAAGGTGACCGTAAAAGTCCGTAGGAAAGGTCAGCATTAGTATAAACAATAACGATACATCACTGGTTGCTATGGCCTAATGCACTTTGATCAGATTGGGTCAACATGCGTGTGCACATGTTCAACACTCATGTATTCTCGCTTTACAAATTCTCTTTTTTTATTTTGCAGGTTCATGAAGACGTATTGACTTGAAGGCACAATGACTACAGCTAACATTTATCCTCCTTGGCCAACAATGACACTCAAGTCCTGGTTAATCTGTCTGACTAGTTTTACCTCACTTTCTTTTCTTATACTGATCATGTATCTGAAAATGGTCTCCATCTCTGAAGAAGAGGCAATCATTCACCTGTTGCCAAAAGAGGTGGTGTGTCCAGACAACGTACCCGTACCCTCGAACACGTCTCATGCCATTCGGTTTAGTGGTGGGATCTACTTCGTGGAGACCTCGGATAGGACCAGTCCAACCTTTCAAACCATGTGTGCTGTGGAATCTGCAGCAAGAGCCCACCCAAACGTCAAGGTTACCGTCCTGATGAAGGGTTTAAATGGCCGAAGCAGGCAAGATAAAAACTTTGGCACTTCCCTCCTTAGGTGCTTTCCCAACATCGAATTTTTGCCCCTAGACTTCAAGAAACTCTTTAACAATACTCCACTCAACACTTGGTACTCTAAAGCAGAAGGAAAAAATCAAAGGGCGTTATTAGACTATCCAACGCTTTCTGATGCTTGCCGCTTGGCCATCTTGTGGAAGGCGGGCGGCATCTATTTGGACATGGATTTTATTATCCTTAAAAATTTAGAAAATATCACTAACTCAATGGGTATGCAGTCCTTGTATACTCTCAATGGGGCTTTTCTCACATTCCAACCGCAACACAAGTTTATTGAGCTTTGCATGAAAGACTTTGTTGGCAAGTACAATTACTGGCTTTATGGTCATCAAGGTCCCCAACTCTTGACGCGGGTATTTAAGAAGTGGTGTCCCATCCACAGGCTGAGGGACAAGAAGAGCTGCCAAGGTGTCAACGTGCTTCCAAAAGAGGCTTTCTACCCTGTTGACTGGCAGGATTGGAAAAAGTATTTCCAGGTTATTGACCCGACTGAGATGGAGAAGCTCTTGAAGGACAGCTATGGTGTTCATTTATGGAACAAAAAAAGCCAAGGGCACTTTCCAGAGGTGGGGTCGCTTTTGGAACAACTTCAGGTCAAGCACTGCCCTACAACCGACCGATTAATGAAAATGTATCACTAAACTTTGGGCTTATGGAACTGGATGTATATAATAATGTTGAAATATTGCTGAAAACACTTCTACGTCATATCTAGCTCCAGCCATAGGGTTTCCACGTCTTCCCCATTATTTGAGTGTTGTATGAAGCAAGACTGAAAAGAACCACAGAGAGGAGCCGATCACTACAGCTCTTAGATGACAGTTCCCCGCCAGCTTCCTTCTGCTTGTAAACAAACCAGTGGAGTGACATCATTGACCACATATGGTCATAGCCAAATATGGTCAATGATGTCACCCAGGTTCTACAGTGCTGCTGTTTACATTTCTACAGTGTCGGGGACCTCCTGTCATTTGCAATGGGAGTGGTAGCAGGGTTAGGGTAGCATTATTCTGGAGGTGAGTCAATGGGCTTAAATGAGTATAGGGGACACAGTACCCCTTGATTCTCATTCACAAAAAGGTCCCACAATCTAAACCCAACGCCAATCACATTCTCCAAAGATGTAGTTCCAGCTTCAATCACAGTGAGCAATGCCCAACAATCCGCTACCAAGATGACGCTCTAAACTTCACTCCAACTAAACTTTAACATGTATCTAACTCTAGAAAAAGAACATGTAATCAATTGCAGCTTACCAGTCCATAGATGTGGTGGCTGCATTCGTTTCTACATTCATTTAATGTTTTTTACTTATTTCACCTGGTGAGCCTGCCAGTAACATACTTCCTGTCCTAGGGTGACAATGTTCACACACTGTAATATAACTATAGAATAGCAGCATGGTAACCTTAGGACAGGAAGTATGTTAGGACTACAGAAGACCTCCTATCCCCTCATCTCCATAATATAGTGGGGAAGTGTTCTGTAATTCACAGAAGTGAACTGGGCAGGGCAGGATTTCTGTCATTTGTATATCTGGATGTGTTTGTTCTTACATGTCTGTGGTCTTTTGAGTGGACTTAGGCTTTTAAAATGGAACCTAATGTTTGGGAGGGGATGCTTTTGAAAATCCATGAAAACATGAAAAAACGGCACACCCACAGAAAATACAAGCATTTTAGACAGTTTTCCCACTCATGTGCGTGCTGGGCGCCGCGCACGGGTGGGGGCAGGGAGGGACGTCTTAAAACATGATATGGATCATCAGACTCTTAGAATGTCAACAAATGGCAGTCAAGGGGCACAAGGAGGAGGAGAAGAAGCAGAAGGAAATTGGTTGAGGGTAGACATGCAGAAAAATTTGGTTCAGTTCGGATATTTTGGGATTCGGATCCGAAATTTTATTCTGCTCGGGTTTCGTATTCAGACGAAATCGGAATTTTTGTTATTTCCGGATGAGTTTACGAATATTCGTTGCGAATACCACAGAAAACCATATACAGATATGAATACTAAAGATGAAGCTCCTAGACCCGAATGGCATTCGGAAGTTCGAATTTCCGAATTGCATTCGGGAGCTCCAGAAAGCAATTTGGGTCTGGGAGCCATATTAAAGCTGAGGCTTCCAGACCCGAATGGCATTCGGGAGCTCCAGAATGCTATTCGGAAATTCGGATCCCGAATGCCATTGGGTCTAGGAGCCTTTAGTATTATATGTATATACTGCATATGGCTCCTTTGTTGCTGTAACAAAAATGTGTGTTCAAACCCATTCGTATACTTTAAACCAAAAAACACATCTGATTGGCCAGAAAAGTCACATGTCCGATTCAGTTTAGTTTTTGAACGAAATTCGGAAGGGATCTGAAATTCGGAAACAAAAATCCGGACACATTTGGATGCATTTGGATTCGGAAATTCGGATACATTCGGACTCAGAAATCTGGATGCATTGATATTCGGAAAATTCGGATGTCTCCCAATGTCCGAATTTTGATTTGGAACGAAACGAATCGCACATGTCTAGTTGAGGGTACCATGAACACAACAGGGGATATCACATACCACAAGGTTTTCCCAAATGATACCCAATCCCAAGAGTTAGGGAATAGACCGATATCTGATGGACAGAATGGGACATTGAGAGATATCAATCTGTCCTTATGAGTTCTCATTAGGAATATACACTGAGTGGCCAGATTATTAGGACCACCCCATCAGTACTTCGTTGGGCCAAGAGATGACTTAGTTGGGCCGCCTCGTGACTCCACAAGATGTTGAAAGGTGATGCGAGGAATCTGACACTGCACTGTTGCCCTTCTGTTGTCTTGTGCCAGTCTTGCCACTCTCCGTTCTGCCCTAACATTGACTAGTCGCTGACGGCCACAATTCGCACCTTCAGACACAGATTCTCGGCTGACAGTCCGGTCTTTAAACACTTTAACAACAGCTGCTCTTGAACATTTAACCAATTCTGCTGTTTTGCTGATACTCCCTCCATGGCTCCGAGCGCCAACAATCATCCCACGTTCAAACGCTGTTAAATCGCGTTGTTTACCCGTATCTTCAGAAAAAAATCACTTCTACTGTCGTGATAAATAACCTGCTTCCCTATTTATAATGGTCTGGCCCTCTAGGAACTTCAGCGCCAAATTATAGCTAATTTGCCTACAAACGTCAGGTGGTCATAATAAATTGGCCACTCAGTGTAGATTGAATTGTTGGATAAGGAATTGAACTTTTGTCCTCCTAGTTACAGATGTTCTTCCTGTGAGCTCTACGTGATGGAAAAAATTGATGGAGCAATGTTTACAGCAATGGTTAAAGTACAGCAGATATGATTTTAAAACCCTTAGAGACATAATAGGAGAGTGGGAGGAAGGAATGAGGAAATTTCTCAGGATGAACTCCTTCAGATAACCTGATCCCTTACTGCAGATAAGTAAGATGAATATGATATACAGGAACCTCTGACCAAATTTCAGCACATACATTTAAATAAGAGATCTATCCCACCCCCGTCTAGGTGCCATTGCAATGAGATAATCAATGTTATTCACTTCACCTGTCAGTGGTCATTATGTTATGGCTGATCGGTGTATACCCACAAATCCTGTCCCAAAGTCAAACACAAGTGAGAGCAAATCTCCCCAAAGTGAGGCTTTAGATAGGCTTATAGCTGAAATTGGGTTTTTATTATTATTATTATACAGGATTTATATAGCGCCAACAGTTTGCACAGCGCTGTACAATATAAAGGTGCCCATACACTTTACAATTTATCTGCAGATTTTATATGGTCAGAGGGAAAAGGTGCAACAGATTCCTCCATCTACACTTAACTGTGTGGATGGAGTAATCTCCACCTGGACCAATCTGTTGCACTTTTTCCATCTGACCACAGAAAATCTGCAGGTAATTGTAAGGTGTATGGGCACCTTTAGGAAGACATTACAATCACAATACAATTCAAGACAAGATGGTAAGGAGGGCCCTGTCCCTGAGCGCTTTAACATTTTATTAGGGGTATGCAGCACCAGGGACATAACTTACCTCTAATGAAGTATCTCGTGTCCTGCTGGCTGCTGCCTAGTGTAGGAATCTTCTCTCCACTGATGACAGATACTTCAAAAATTAACCTCTTGCTGTCCGCCCGTTAAGAAAAAACGAGTCAACTGGTTAAAGGAGAACTATGGGGTAAACTTTTTATCCCATAGTTCTCTAAGGGGCACGGGAGGATATATACTAACCTCCTCCCATGACCCAAAGCTCAGTATATAGCTCGCTATATACTGAGAGTTCCGCAGGACGGATCCCGACAATACTGTCTAGATCCACCCAGCTGGCTGATTGACAGCGGGCTCTGCCTATCTAGATGCAGAGCCAGCTGTTGCAGCCCCCTCCCCATCTGTTCCTCCAGTTAGTGCTGGAGGATCGGATCGGGGAGGGGGGGAATCCCTGCGTGGGTTAGTCACTGCTCTCTGCAAGGAGATGATCGTAAAGCGAGTGAGCGGCGTTATGTGTTCGCTTACTTCCTGGTCTATGGAGCCGACGTGTGACAGTCTCATTGTCACACGTCGGCTCTAACTATGAGGATGAGTGAATATCACTCACCTCATAGTTCTCCTTTAAGGTTAGCGGCAGAAACTGTAAACCATCAAGGCCGTTCACCTTCCTCTTCTCCCACCCATTCACGGAACTCGTAGTATTCTATCCCAGAATGCAAAGCGTTGTGTGAATGGAGAATGGGTGGATAAATAACAGGATCACAGAGCGTTTTGCATCGGGTCAGTACTGTGAGTATCCAACGTCACTAGAGTGAAATATTTCTATGCTAAGCAGCAGGACATGGGATACTCTTCATTGGAGGTTATGTCCCTGCTCCTGAATACCAGCCCCCCACCCCCCCATCTAAACCCTAGAAAAAAACATGTAATACATTGCAGCCTACCAGTCCATAGATGTGGTGGCTGCATTACTTTCTACATTCATTTTATGTTTTCATTTTTTTTACTTTTCACCTGGTGATTCTGCCAGTAACACTTCCTGTCCTGGGGTGACAACACTAACTGTAGTGTATCTATGGAATAGCAGCATAGTCACCTTAGGACAGTAAGTTTGTTGGGACTACAGAACATAGTGGGGAGGTGTTCTATAGTTCACAGAAGTGAACTGGGCAGAGCTGGTAGCTCTTTGGCATAACATTGTAGGGTGCACAGGGCACAGGACAGAACAGGATTTCTGGCAGGATCAACAGGTGTTGTGCACTTATTGAGCAGCTATTGCAAAACGCATTCAATGGTGTATTAAACAGACCAAAAGAGAACAAATAAGGGAAGTTCATTGTCCTGGTTTACATGCTTTTTAAATCATTTTCTTGCTGATCGCATTCTTTTTTTACCATTTGTAAACTGTTCTCATTCATTTTCTTGTTTGTTTTTGTATTGCTGCAGAGAAATGACATGTTTGTAAATGCCGTTATTTCTTTTGTAAATAAAGTTACCAGGTTTGTACAAGAAACGTATTTTTGTTGCCTTCACACTAAAATGAATTGCAGAATAAAAATTGTGGAATGTTACCAGCTTTGCCTGTGGGACAATTTTAGAAAAGGGAGGACGTTACTGAACAAACATTTGCTGCC